ATATATTAAAAACCTTAAGAACATCATTTTACCATCATTGTTTCTGTTCATGGATGGAGACTCTAGAATGTGATCGCTCTTTGGTTCTGGGATCATTTCTGTGAATTGTTGCCGTCATTGCTGTGAGCAGCAGGTTATACCAAAGATTTCTATGCTCAAGAAACGTGGAATTTTCACGCCAGTATACAATGCTTCTAGCATTCACAGTGCTTAAGGGACTCTGTGTTGTTTATTTTGGTTCTCTCTCTTCAATGCCAACATAAATAAAGGACAAAAAAAATGTGGTTTATTAAGTTTCTAATGAGTCAAGTTGTAGTTTCATCCCAACCCTTTTCCTTTGGAGGCAGAGCCTGGCCTTGTAGGCCAGAGAAGCTTGAATTTACCAGTCTCAGCACTTCAGCCTCCTGGGTACTGGGATTACAGGTGTCCAACACACTCCTCACTATATGATGCTTTTGAAGAGCATGACAATGTGGAATTAAGGGAAGCTCTGGACTTTGGAATTTAAAAACTTGAAGTAGGCTAGACTCTGCCACTAACTTGTAAAGATATTTTGTTTTAATATTTAACATATCTTTAGCATGCTAGAACTTATGAACAGAGTTGTTGAATATATTGTTACACATTTGTAAAATATATAATGTGTAATATATTCTTAACACCTGGTAAATCCAGGGTGGTGAACTCATACACATCGAAGCTAGGCAGACAACAATAAATGATTGGATATTAAAATTAGTAAATACAGCTGCTTACTTTTCCTAATAAATCAGAAAACTGAATGTTTATGTAAAGAGTTTCTCTCAATATTTTCCTCTACTCAAAATTCTCTTAAGGTATCATTTGTGCCCCCTGCTTGAGAGAGAGAAAGAGAGAGACAGACAGAGACAGAGAGACAGAGAGACAGACAGAGACAGAGAGAGACAGAGACAGAGAGAGGATAAAAAGAAGGAAGGAGCATTCGAGCTATGTATGGAGCTCAGGCTGCTAGGCTTAACACAGTCATCTCAAAAAATGAGACAGTTGTGCCATTTTTAAGGCTGCAGAGTGTATTTGGAGGTTTTCCTGAACTAACACTTAGATTCTGCCCTTTAAAGCAGGAGAAGTGTGAATCAAACAAGTACCTATTATAATTTCAGATGGTACACGGTACTATAAAGAAACTTGGGTAAGTTTGGGGTATTTGGTTTTGCTAAAGGAAAGTCAAGAGTCTGGAGTTGTCTGGGAAGATGACAGGAAGATAATTCTAAATGTGAGAGAAGGCCTGCTTTGTGGTTTGGAAGAACATTCTAGGCAGAGAAGAAAGCAAGGAGTTAAAAAACAAACAAACAAACAAAAAAAAAAAAAAAACAGGGGGCTGGAGAGATGGCTCAGAGGTTAAGAGCACTGACTGCTCTTCCAGAGGTCCTGAGTTCAATTCCCAGCAACCACATGGTGGCTTATAACCATCTGTAACAAGATCTGGTGCTCTCTTCTGGCTTGCAGTCATATAAGCTGTATACATAATAAATAAATATTAAAAAAAAAAACAAACAAAAAACCTTGATCAGTCCTCTTTCTGCCTATTCCTTTCTCTTGGTTTTATTTGTGCTGGTATTTGCTATGGAACAAACATGCAAGTATAATATTTGTTGCCAATTTCAAAATTGACAGATGAGTACTTGTCTGGTTCTTGAAGTTTTTATAGTACTTTCCAAAGTTGTATCTGTTTTCTAATTTCTCATGTATCAAATTGAAAAAAATAACTGAATGAATTAAGTTTTTGTTTTAAATTTCAAAGTGAGTGCAATTTGTATTGAAGAATATAGATTTATTTGTAGCTCCGGTCTGGGATAGGAAGTGAACACAGAAATGAGAGAGTGTAGTAGGGTCAGTCATCACTTGCTATTGTTTCTTCTGTGTTAGTTCATCCTTGTCCCTGTCATGTAGTATCCTAATCACAGGGTTTCACTGTGGTTTTTAGTTGGAGTTTGGTTACAGAGATAAGTATTAATTTTTAACTTAATTGCTCTCATAGATTCTTATCAGCTCTTGATAGGAATGGCATTTGATTTTCTTGGAGAAATGCTGAATCTGAATTCCTTTCAGGCTTTCATAATTAAGCTTTTGAGATGATCTTTTTGAAACAAACCTTGAATAACAAGGCAACAAAGTGGCTTAGAACTGAAGACAGGATTACTGTGGATTGGCAAAGCATTTTAAGCAACTGTGTCTGTCACATGGGATGACAAGAATTGTAACAAGTTACTCTGACAGCCACCCACTCCATGGAGAGATTACGCTGAGCTTATTTGCAGGGTTATGTTTAGCTTTGAATGACAAAATGATACTTAACCCCTTATACAGTTAATCTTTGTGTTTTCTGATTTTTTTTTTTGCCTTAGCAGTGACCTCAAAAATTTTGAGACCTTAAAAATTTTGAACTAACATATATTTTTAAAGCAGGTAAAAGGCACCACTGGACAAACATTATAATCACATTATGTAAAATCCATTTATATAAGAGAGCCAAAACCACACATGTCATTCTTTTGACTTCTTGTTTTTGAAGTTTTATCTGCAGCTTGGTTTCTCTAACAAGATTTTTAAAGTTTATCAGTAAATAAGGCTAGATGTGTTTCCTGAGAATAGATTACTTCGTTTTTTTAAGCCCAAATATGTAGTTGTAAGAAGAGATTTAATAATTTCACTCTACTTTTTCATGTAATTTTTCACAAATTACAATGCATTTTCTTAATTTCTTTCCGAACTGTTTCATTATCTATTAAATTATTTTGCTTAGAAATTGTTTTTCTATTTTAATTGGAGGGAAACAACACTCAAGAATGTAATACTGTGACTTAATTGGGGTTATCTTTTCTTTCATTAGATCTTGGCATATACAGAAGGTCTGCATGGAAAATGGCTGTTCACAGAAATAAGATCAATCTTTTCTCGTCGTTATCTTTTGCAAAATACAGCACTGGAGATCTTTATGGCAAACAGAGGTAATATGTTACAGAAGTCCATTGTTAAAAGCTAACTTACCCCTGGGATGTCATTCGGAACACACCATATTGTTTCTATTTAGATTGGAACTATAGTTTACCCTCTGCTCTGTTGACCTCATCTCTTCCATCTCACCCATCATCATGTGATTTTCATCCCCCCCCCCATCATTTTTAGAATAATTTGTAGCTCTTTTGTTTTCCTGACTGTTTCACAGATTGGTGCAAAGCTCTATAAATATGAATAAACAATGATTTAACTGTTGATCAGTTGTATAGTTTCCATGTCCTCAGCATTTCCTTGATTACTTCTGATAAATGGCTATATTTGGGGACAGAGAAATATAATCAAGTGATTCCTATATTTATTTTTTCTTTTATTCATATATTATTTTGTCTTTTATCTAACCTATTGCTATTTATTTAAAAAGTCAGAAATGTATTAAGTTGTCCATTCTGAATAGTTGAACTAAAGTTTTATTTGTGGATTTAAAATGGGACTTCATGAGATAAATCAAGGAAAGAAGGGTAGACAAGTTGAACTTGAAGGAAAAATTATTGTGTATTAGTTGAGGTACACAAGGGAAAATATATAAAACTTGATGTCTTTGTTACATTTCTAACTTGTATATATGTTGCTTGATGGTTTCTTAATTGTTTGTTCTATAATCTCGTGATTTAAATTTACACATAAGAATATGTATCATATGCATACATTTTTCCCTGTATAGTGGCATGTGTTTACAGCACATTTAGGGAACAAGATTTTTACTTTCTTAGAAGCTCTTCCATAATCCTCAATATGTTTTTACTAATGTGAGCATTATTCTTGTAGAAAAATAATTGAGACATTAGTTTACATTTGATTTCAGTCTGTATTCTTGTTCAGAAGTAGTGACAACCTTCCAGCATTTACCACTTGCTCACCCTCATTCACTTTCCTTCTGTGGAATTCTGTAGACATCTTTGCATTTGTGTGTTTTCTGGCATCTTTCATCGCAGCTTAGGTGTTCTGACAACCTACAGTGGCTTATTCTTTCACTCTCTCTCATATTTAATATAGTAGTGGGCATATAAAGAAGCCTTACTCAACACTACATGAACATGGCAGTACAACATACTTTGTGCTTAATAAGTGAACTGTTACTTATTTACTTAAGACTTGTTAGTTGATCCATTGTTTAAAAGCTACAGCAACATAGTAAATTTTTTACAACTTAAGTATTTTTTCTGGCCAAGCAGAAAACTGCCTTCTAGATGAGTTTGTAGCATACATGTGTTTCTGATACTGTTAATATGTAATTAAGATTTTGACACTAAAGAAATTAATATCTTACAAAGTTTGTCATTATTGTATGACTATCATCTTTTTAAAGATAGGTAAGTATTTTATATGACTTGTAAAATTAACATATCAAATGATTTTATTACTAGATACTTCTTGATACTCTCATACATGGATAATTACCTTAAAAGAAATGATTAAAAAGCATTTTAAGTTTTCTTCATAGCCACAGAGAAAAACTTTTATTGCAAGACACAAATATTTCTGGTTAACATTAATATGTGAAGTAGAAGCATAAAATATTATAAAGAAAATTGCTTTCAAATGGGTCATTTATGGATATATAATGTATTATTTCTTAGCTATATTTGTAGCTTTTAATGGTAGGTGGATAACTATTTCAACTTTAAATAGTTCTAAAAATTCATGCGGAGGTATTGGAGTTGTGAACATTGAATATGTATATCTACAGTTGTCAATATATAGTCTCAGCTTCATGTTACACATTGAGACAATTGTTAGCTTTTCTGTAAATACTATTGAGACTCCTGTGTGGCAATGGGATCCTTGAATGAAACAAATACCATCTGTAGAATATTACAGATACAACATTAGGATGTAGTTCCAATTGTGTTTGATAGATACCCAAACTGAGAGTAAATATTCTATTGGATCAAGAAGTCAGTTTTCCAAAAAGTATATCACTGTATTCTAATTTTAAAAATTACTTGTTGTAGTTGCTGTAATGTTCAACTTCCCAGACGCTGCCACAGTAAAGAAAGTGGTGAACTATCTACCTCGTGTTGGTGTGGGAACCAGTTTTGGATTACCTCAGACCAGGTACTGTTTTATCTGAAAAAAGAAAAATGAAAGGAAATATTCTAATTAAAATCTTGTTAATTAACATATATTAGTATTTATATTTGTTTTGAAATGTCACCTTTGTTTTTTGTTTCTTAATAAATGATGGTTATTAGAGTTGTATTTTATTGTTAGTCAACTGAATCATAATATAAAAAGCACAGTATCTCTTGGAGAACATGTTCGAAAGTACTGCAAGATAAAGGTTCTCTAGCCCTGCCCAGGAGCATTGGTGCATGTAAACATACAATCGCATGTCAGAATGTTTCATTTGTGCTTCTTACTTTGGCATATGGGGGAAGGAATATATTTCCATATGATACCACTATAGTCTAATCAAAATAGCAAAAATCAGAGCAATAGTATCCAAATGTTAAGTCAGATGTGAGATGATTGGATTGTTAGTTACAGTGGACGTAAATTGGTACTGGCACTTTGCAGACAATTTGAAAACAAAGTAAAACTTTACATGAACACATCCGACATGCCCTATGACCCTGCTGTGTTAGTCCTGGAAAGAGGTCCAGCAGAAACCCTACAGAATTGTTCAGATGAGCACTACTTATGATAGGCTCAAACTGGAAATAGTTCATCAGCTACAGGAAAATAATTTAAACTGTAGTGTGTTCACACAGTAGAACATATAACAGCGAAAATGAGGAAACTATTGTCATGTGTAGCAACAATGATGAATTTAGCAATGGAAGCAAGAACAATCACTTGCTTATGTAATATTCTGAACCACCAAACTTGTCTCTAATGTCTAAGTTTAGCATCAGGACACCCATTCATTTTTAGAGAGTGGTAGTTCATGAGTGTGTATTAAGAAAGCTTATGATGCTGGGCGGTGGTAGCACAAGCCTTTGATTCCAGCACTTGGGAGGCAGAGGCAGGTGAATCTCTAAGTTCCAGGACAGCCTCGTTTACACAGAGAAACCCTGTCTCCAAAAAAGAAAAGAAAAAAAAAAAAGAAAGAAAGAAAAAAAAAGAAGAACGTTTTTGACATGCTGCTTATATTTCTTACCTGAGATGAGATGGTGGCTGTCTATTGTGTGTATTTTAGAAATTTTCATTAAGAACGTACTTTTGTGTTATAGTATAATAAATGCTTCAAGGATCATCCTTAATTCTATTACTTTGAAAGAACTACTATTTTATCACATTGGAATTTTTTTTTTTTCTTAAACCTTTTTGTCAACATACTTAGAACAACTTGGAACCACAATTTGGGTTGATTTTTTTTTTTTTTTTAATTTACTAGTCCTTCAGTGTTTTTATCAGGCCACTGATTTTTTTGTTTGTTTGTTTTTAAAACAAAGTAATCCCAAAATTAGAATGAAGAAAATAATAAGGACCAAAGCAGAAATAAATGATACAGAGACTTGAACACTGTTAGAAATGATCAATGAAAGTTAAGATTTGATTTTTCTAAAAAGAGTCCAATGAATAAACAAGCAAACCCCTTGGCTGGACAAGCGGAGTGGACATTTCAACACTCCATGTACATAGAAGAGCTTTCCACTTCTGTCTCCTTCCGTCTCTCCCGTCAGGATTTTCTAGTTTTTAGTACACAGCATATCTCAGGGTACAGCGTTTGGAAGAGGGGAGGAGTCTTTTCACGGTGGGCTTGTAAGCTGCCTGTGTGGAACCTCATTATTTCTCTCCATAACTGATTTAGTGGAAATACAACTGAGTTAACTTATTAAAAAACTGGTAGAAGTATGAACACAGGAACTTTTCTATGAGTTGAAAAGTGTTTATGAGTAGAAATTAACAGTTTACTAGTATGTCTGATTTTTTAGTAGAACAGTTTTATCTTACTGTGTTTGTAGTGCTGGAAATCAAACCTAGGACCTTGAGCATTCTGAGCAAGCACTGTACCACTGAGCCATATCCCTACACTAAGCTGGTATTTACTAGTGTTTATTTCATATTCTATGATAATATCCTATCACAAATAGAATTGGAATGGCATGTGGAATGATGGTCAGGAAACAAGAGCTTACCCCTGGGTCTGGAGGACTTTACAATGTGCTTCTTAGTAGCAACCCTCAGTTTCTCAACAGTCTCTCGCTCCATCTGCTATTTCTTAAGTAGATACAGAACATGGGTGTGGCTCTCTGCAAAGCAAGTACTTCAAGAGAAAGTGAGGCAGAAGACACAGAACTTTCTGTGATTTACCCTTGATAGTAACACTCTCATTTCCAGTCCATTGCACTATCTCAGGGAAATCACTAAGGACAGCTCAGCTCCCAGGAAAAGAATTCTAAGTACCAGTTCTTGTGGACATGCTTTTTAAATGCCTCAGGTTATTACTTTTATATGAAAATAACAAAGCTCTTATAGATTAAATAGTTGTTTTACACTAACAGAACTGATTTTGACTAGATAATACCATTTCATGAATAATTTCAAGGCTAAGACATGGCTTACTGGTAGAGTACTTGCACAGTAAAAACATAGCTTTGGATTCAATCTTTAGCAACACTAAATGTGTGTGTGTGTGTGTGTGTGTGTGTGTGTGTGTGTGTGTGTGTGTGTGTGTGTGTCTTAGATTATAAAAGCCTTTTTACTGATTATTGTATAAGAGTTTTATTTATTATCAGTAAGTGTTAATACCTGGGACTCTTTGTAGTATTTTATCACAGTCAGTGAAATATCAAAGTCTTAATTTATTAATAAATTTCTGAAATAGATTTTCAGTTCTTAAAATCTGTCTGACACTCAGCATTATACAAGGTAGACACTATGTTATCTATAGATATTCAAACAAATGTGTGAACTAAGTAACCGTGGAGATGAGTTTCCTTGGATCAGATGATGAATGTATTCCCAGGAGACATTTATGCTTGTATTTGAATAAATAGAACCAATCCAACATTGAAGGAAGGGATAGTTTTATAGAAGCCTGGAAGCAAGGCAGAGCTTTCATTGTTCTGGAAAAATATTAACAGGCATCTGACAGTGGAACGCAGTGGCTCAGGAAGAGAGTGTTGAATAGGAAATGTGAGCTGGTGTAAAAGTCCAGCTAACAGATTGATAATGGTAATGTTAGTGAAGAAGAGCATCTCGATTGGAGAGTTGTAGGAAATGGCAATTGGAGACTAGTTAGATTCCAGGTATGGTAAAAGGAGATGCTCCGTATGTCTTCTCAAGTCCCAGCTTGAGCTCCTAAACAGCATTCACTGTTTAGGATTAACACCACTAGAAAAGCAGTGGTTGTGGAGGGCTCTATATGCTTCTGTATTCATGACTAGGAATTTAGGGAGGAAGTAGAGAGAAAATAAGCTTGGTTTTGATTATATTGAAATTGAAACCCAGAAGAAATGTTCAGTTGTAAATACTGAATAGAAAGTTAAAATGCCAGGGCATATCTAAAACAACAAGCTGAGACCTGGCATTTGGAACTCAGTGTCCTGTGTGTGAGATTAGAAGCCATAATAGGGAGTGAGTTCATCTGGGGAGAAACTAGAATGTCAAGAGAACTTAGAGCTTCATTCCAAGGAACCTCAACATTAGTTTCAAAACTTACTATAAATCCATTGTTATTGTCTACAGAGAGAGAGAGAGAGAGAGAGAGAGAGATATGTTAAGTAGAAAGAAAGAAAGGAAGGGAAAAAAGAACCCCTCCCCCTCCAACAACTAAAGCACAGATCCTGGGGGATGTGATGCCAAGGGTTGGTAGTATTCCATACAATTAGATGTGACAGGAAGCTAATAAGAAAGACTGAACAGTGCCTGTTACATTTCATAGCAGCTATTTAGGGCTGAAGTGGTTTAATTTGAATTTACCCATATAATATCAGCAAGCTGTACTTGGTAAACTGGGACCAAATTTTTGTTGTTTGTGAGATTTTCAGTTTAGATGTGATAAATATTGCAGTCAGGGACATTAAGACCAAAACGTGTGGCTTATCAGCCAGTGGAATGTGAGATGATAGAAACACTCGTGCTAAATACATAGCCCACCTCTGATGGCACATAGTAGGAGGTGATCACTTTTCTTGCTGTGGCTTTTTTGATCTGGAGTATCTGACTTTGCAGGAGTAGGCTTCAAACATGCCACAATACAAATTTTAAGACTTAATAACAAGTTACTGCATATACCTAAAGACATATTCAAGAGTCATTTGAATTTTCCTACTTATAGGAAGTTTTGTTCAATCTTACCACTTGAATTTTTACCCTCTAGTGGAAAATTAGCCAATAAAACATACCTTATATCAAGGAAGTCTTAGTTACTTTTCTGTTGCCATGACAAAGTACCATGACCAAGATAACTTATAAAAGAAAGCGTTTAATGTGGAGCTCCTGGTTCCAGAAATACATGACCCTCATGGTGGCAAGCATGGCATCATGCATTTGAGCATGGTGCTGCAGCAGTAGCTGAGAACTTACATTTGATCCACAAGTAGGAAGCAGAGAAAGAGCTAATCCTGAATGGCATGGGCTTATGACAAAGGCACCCCCAGTGATAGACCTAACCAAATAGTTCCACCAACTGGAGGCAAAATATTCCAATATATGAGCCTATGGGGGCCGTTCTCGATCACCACAAAGGGTTGTAACAGGTACCTTACGGTGAGGCGCTGAGAGACATTCGGGGGAGAGAGAATCTGTCCTTCCCTCCTTTATGTTCCAGCCTTCAGAGAGCTCCTAGGTTTGGAGCTTTCTTCTCTATCCTGCAGCCATGCCCTCTGCTTTAAGTCAGTTCTTGGTGCTTCTGCCAACTCTTGGGCCCACTAACTCCTCTGGTTTGGAAACTTCTACAACAAAGGTGTAACACATTAAAATTTATGGGATGTGACTAAAGCTGTTGAGGTAAATTTTATTACTTTAAACATCTTTATCGGAATAAATATCTTAATCTGGGCCAGAAATGTCTCATCTTAGTCTCCTAAGCTTTTTTCTTTAGAAAAATTGAGGAATGAGCTAAATTCAAAGGCAATAGGATAACATGAAGAATAAAGGTTGTAACAGAAGTATGTGGAACAAACACAGTAAAAACAGACCATTGAAATGATAGCTGATATTTGAAAAAGTCAAATTGATAAACTTTAGCACCTGTGAGAAAAGCAGACACATAAATAACAAAACAGAACTGAAAGAGATTGTATTACGTTGCTGCTGGCCATACAACAGTTGAAAGTGTTGGGAAGAAACACAAACTAGCTTATGCTGAAAATTAGACAACTTAGCTTATATTGACAAATTTATAGGGGGAAAAACAAACTGCCAAACTGGCTCAATAAGACATTAAAATGTAAATGGGCTTATAACAAGTAAAGAAATTGAATTAGTAATTAAAAAATCTATCCATTAACAAAAATCCCATAGCCTTTATGGCTGTAGTAGTGAATCCCAGCAGATGTTCAAAGTAGAATGGTAACAGCCCTTCACAAACTCCAGAATTTGTATGATAAAATGCTTCCCGCCTCGCTCTGTATGGACAGTGCCACCACAATACCAGAAAACAGACAACTATTGGTCAGTACCTTGTGGACACAGACACAAAATCCTTGACAAAATTTACCAAACCAAATTTAGCAGTATAGACAAGTGATTATCAGATGGCTAGAAATGCACTCGGTTTAAGTCTGGAAATAAATGTATGTTGCTTAACAAGCAAAATGGCAAAACCACTTGATAGTCTTAGTAGATAAAGGAAAACACTTGACGAATTCTGGCACATATTTGTGACTGAAACACTAGACCAACAAGTAATAGAAAACTATTTCAACAAACTGATACAAATCCCCTCTGAAGAGCAAAAACGGCACCAACACCAAACGCAGCCCATGTTCACATGGCCAGAAGCACGGGATTCTCAATAGTGGGCTGAAACCATGAGATACATTTCATACCCACTGTAATAAAAGTATGTACAGTAGTGGGTGTTAGGGATGTGGGGATCTGTTCATGTATTGCTTACTGGAATATTGAACACTCCCACTACTTTGGAAAAGAATTTGGTAGTTTGGTAAACAGTCTAAGAGAAACTCATTGTACAGTTGAGTGATTCAACCTCTAAGAATCTCTCCAAGGGAAATGAAAAGTATGTTCATTCAGTTATATGTATATGAATGTTCACAGTAGCAAGTCACAGTAGCATGAAACTAGACACAATTTTAATGTGCATTAATTATGTAAAATATATTTTCTGTATTCATACAATAGAATACTATTAAGTAATAAAAAAGATAACTGATCATACAATCATTTTGCTCAGTCTCATAAAAGGTATTCTTGGGAGAAGAAGCCTGATAGGAACTAAACACCATGTGTGATTACAGAAAATACCCAGAAAAGGCAGGTTTACAGGAACAGAAAGTAGACTGGTAGTTGCTTTGAGGTGGGACTAGGAACAGGAATTAACTGCAAATACAGAGAAGGTAGTTTTGTTATAAAGAAAATGTTTTGTAGTGGATTGTGTTAACAACACAAAACTATAAAGTTTTCTCTAAAGTCTTTGAGTTTTGTACCCTTAGAATGAATAATTTTATAATTTTGAATGAGGACTCAATAAATAATTACTTGGCATCAGGATGTTATAATTAGTCCTTCTCACTCACCCCTCATTTCCCACTGCTTATCTGTTGGCTAATTGTATCTAAGTATTTACATTTCTCTGACATGGTCTTCTAAGGAACTACATTAAAAAAAAAATAATAATCTCAAGACTTGTCTTTCCCCTTTTCACAGAATCTGAGTAAATATAAAATATAAAAAGAATTTAAAATTGTAATGTACAAGTTTTAAGAGATACTTTTAAAAATGATAGACATGTGAATACAATTTTATGCAATTTTGTGGATTCATTGATCATACTGTTTTAATCAACCTGTATAGAACCCAAGTATTACAATGATGTTATATGACAGCTTACCTGAATGAGCAAAATATATATAATAGACTTATTGCTAGTCCAAATCATTTGGTATCTATTAATTGTGGGTTGAAACATTGCTAGCATTCATTGTTCTGACATTTATACTAATTTTCAGGATTATAGGTTTCATTAAAAATATTGAACAAGCACAGATAATTCGTAATTTAGTATTATTATTAATATTAAGTTGTTTTTATCCCAAATTCTCTTTGCAGGCGTATTTCCTTAGCCACTCCACGTCAGTTATTTAAAGCTTCCAACATGACTCAGCGGTGGCAGCACAGAGAGATTTCCAACTTTGAGTACTTGATGTTTCTCAACACAATAGCAGGTAAATGAAGTGCACAGCTTACTTCTTTTAGATAACAAATGCCCATTGTGATATGCTTAGGTGATTTTTAATACTGGCTGAAGAAGTAGCTCATTTTTATTGTTATTTGAATCTCTTTTAAGGTAGATTCCTAATAACATTTAAAATTGCGTATGAACAGGTGGCTACTTGGAAATTAAAAAAAAATTTTTAAAGAGAAAAGAATTTACAGCTTTGTAGTATAAAAAGGGACTACTCTGAAATAGTAGGGACGAAGAACAGCATAAAAATTTAAGAACTGATTAATATGTTAGAAATAAGTTTATGATGAAACAGTGAGCTATGATAAAGGAATATTTATATTAGGACCCATATATGAAAATGTAAAGATTAAATGGCCCTTACAAGATGTGTAAGCATGTAATATTGAAAATCACCCTTTGGAACTCTTTCTTTGAAGAATAAAGAACTGAAATGTGCCCGTACTTTGCATCTAGAATAAGCAAACCGGAAGTCTATTTGTGTGACATTGTCAGTAAGTATTTAGTAGCTATGTATTCGGTTTAATGTAGTTAGAAGTCCAATCACTGAGCAGTACCTACTCTTGTCTTTATATACAATAAGCTTTTAATTATTTACTATTATTAAAGCAGATAGGACAGGATGAAGGATTTACTATCTACTCATATCTAAATTATATCGAGAAGGAAGTGGGAGCTGAGAGAGAGATAAGATGACTTCTAATATGTTAGGTTATTGTTCTGAGAAAAATGAAAATGAAGAACCTAAAAGTGTAATGACATGCTAACCTCTGAATTAGCATTGTTCCCACCGTTACACTATTGTAAGATGAGGCTGGACAGTGCTCAGCAGTTAAGAACTGGTATTGTGCTGCTGCCAGGGGCCACACTGACATCTGTGATCCATGCTGTGGCCAAGGCTGTGTTGATGTTTGAGGTCCTTGCTGCTGCTGGGGAACATGTTAAGGTCCTTCTTCTGTGGTATAGCTGGAGGTCATGTGAATGTCAGTGGTCCATGTGGCCACCAGTGACCATGTTGATATCCATGATCATTCTGGGACCAATGTTGATGTTCGTGGTCCATACATGATGAAGCTATGATGAGGTCCATGATCTATGTTGCTGCCAGAGACTGTGTGGATGTCCACTGCCTACACAGCCATGGGACACTATGTGGAAGCCCATTATCCATGCTGCCACTGACTGTAAAAGGCAAGGAAGCTTCTTTTTCAATGGTATTGATGAATCCCAACTCATAATTAAGAATGAGAGACAATGAAGGGCTTCTGCAGCAAACTCCCCCACCCCCACCCCCAAAAGGAAACAGTCTAAACAGGAAGCTATTGAAGAGATTCCTTAACAATTGTGATAAAGATGCTGAAGTGTAGCTCTGGTGGTGGGATGGGAAGGACTCAGTTATGTTCAAGAGGCTGACCACTGGGAGTTTGACAAAGCTCCAATGAGTAAATGGGCAACAAACATTTCTCTTAGTGTGCTTTTCCTGGGGAGGGGGTACACAATGGTGGGAGGGTAGACATGGGAAGAAAGGGAAGCGAGTGTGAATAGGGTGAATTTTATAAAATTCCCAAATAATCAATAAAAATCTTAAGTTGGAAGAAAAGGAAGCTGTACTGTGTTCACCACACCCATGCCAGGTGGCTCAGAGCCACCTACAACTCCAGTTCCAGGGGAGGGGGTGACTTCTTCCGGCCTCAAGGGCCCCTGCATACACATGGTACACTTACACATTTTTGTAAACTCTTTAGGTCATTAGGTTGTCCTAATAAGCTTCAAGCCCTGGAAGAGTTAGGGAAAACCCAGTTAACTACATCAGGTCACTTGAAAAGACTTTGATACCAATCGTCTGTATAAAGAATTACTCTAATATTCCTATGAAAGGAATTCAAGCCATATTAATAGTCTCTCCTTCCTTGTATTTCAGCTATTAAATCTGTTCACTATGAGTTTCATCAGAAATAGACTATAATTTGATAAGTGGGAGATCTGGGCTTCACATGCCTGCCTCTTGACAGCAGAAGCAATTACCTCGTGCTCTCTGTTGCTTCACTGTGATGGTGATACCAAGAAAACTGCTACGTAATGTACAAAGGATGCCTTATCTTTAGAATACATATTTGTAATACTTCTCAGTATGTTACTAATCATTATGTCTTTAGTTTAGAAGTAGGTATGGAAAAGCATTTGGGGTGGGCTGAGCAAGGCTGAGGATGCTGTGTGTTGTTTTCACAGCATCAGTTGGGAAGGTGCTACAGGACCTCAGGGTTCCTTACTCCAGGCACTCTCATGTTACATAGCCAATGAGCAACCACATGATCTGTCACTCATCGTGGTTGGTTGGTTAGTTGAAAATTGGTGATTATTTGGTCAGTTGCTTGATTAACTAACTGGTAGCAGGGAAAATGATTGAGGTTTGGACTTTTTTTTTTACCAGAATAAATTCTTTTTTAGGCTTAATAAAGTATTATTTTGTGGCTGAACGTATAGCTCAGTGGTTAGAGCATGCACTTACACAAGCTCAGTGT